GGTGATCATGGGACACCAGATCGAAGGCTTTTTTGAAGTCAAGATATATGACATCAATCTCTTCTCCCTTGTCCAGGTGATAGGTCACCTGGTCGTAGAAGGAAATGAGATTGGTCAAGCAAGACCTACCCGCAACAAACCCGTTTGTTGGCACTGTGTGGCCAGTTACCACCTCAAGAAAGCAGGTGAAATCATTTGTCTGAAAATTTTGTTTCAGGCTATTTTGGCACCAACCCTTTGAGGGAGCTGTGCTTCTCAACCACTGTTGACTTCAGGCAGAAGGTTAGTGAGGCTTGTTGAGCTCCTGGGGCAGGGGGATGAAAGGTATACCAACCATTGTGGATGGGGGGGGGGGGGGGGGGGGGGGGGGGGGAGGGGGGGGGAAAAGGGATGCTGCTGTAGCAGCAGCAGCTCTGGCAGCAGCAGCCCCATGGCTGATCTCTCTGGGATCCAGTCCTGGTGTCCCATTCATATCCCTGCTCCAGATACAGACATACTGGGTGCATAGCTATGCCTGCTCTGGAAAAGGCTCCCTGGGTTTGAGGGAGGGAGCACCATTCAGTTTGCCCCACTCACTTTCTGCCCCCAGATCCACTGCTTGGTGCAGTGCTGCACTGTCTAGCTCCTATGGCCCAGCAGGGGAGCTCAGAGCTGGCCCTGCTATGGCAAAGACTCTCCTCTCTCCTACTGCATCAGACTCCCTGTTGTGGTTCAAAATCTTTCATGACACCGCCTCTCCTCACTTACAAATCCTATCCTACTAAGGTCATACTTCATCTTCTCCAGTGATAGCAGCTTTTCATGCAAACATGTCCATGCCTTTTTTCACACTTCCATTTCTGCCTGGTACAACCTTTTTCAACCTTTTCTCCCAAAGACTCATCTGTTATGTTGCCTATTAAAAAAAAATGTAGATGGTGTCACATTGGAGGGAGAACTTAGGCATCATATTCAAGTTGTATGTCTCTTTATTAGGACAACCATACCTTTGTTCATCCCTTTTCCCTCATTATTACATTGTTTACTTGTTAGCCTCCAGGACAGAAATAATTCCCTCTAACATATTTACAAAGCACATATCACACTATGAGTGCTACAACAATTACTTCCCATCCCAAAAAACAATCATAATCCCATTTACTAGGCCACATTATCTCTTTGGCAGTTACAATACTTAGGAAGGTATTCATCACGTTTAAATGTTGTGCTGGAACCCAAGACATGGCCCCAGTAAGGCGTGAGGCCTGCCTCTCAGTGCTAGGAATGACTTGGGTATAACTTGCTGGTGCTAAGTGATCTGAATGCTTAAAAATTAAATTGCCTCTCCATGCCTGCCATACCAACTGGGCTTCACTTTCATAGTTGTCACAGCAGAGAGGTTGGATCTGAAAGAGAGGAGGATGGCAGGTTTGCGTACAAGTGCAGGAAATACATTTCAGGAAAAAAGGAGAACATGGAAGAAAGCATTGGTGTAAATGTACAGAGTTAAAATTAGCTCCCTTTCCTGAAGTAGGTTTCTAATCTTGTAGTTTCCTTTCCCTCCTCTTTTGCTCCCTCCAGTATTTCTATGAGAAACCTCCTCTCTGGATCTCATCTCTCCCTACTGGTGGTTACAGCATACCTTCCCACCTTTCACTTCAGGAGGCCTAACAGCCTTGGTTACTCTTAGCTGGTTGTACTGGCAGACAGTAGACACCACTGCCGAAGGACATAACACATGCGCGTGCTTCTGGTGGCTCCACAGCACCAGTTGTGGCAGCAAAGTGTGACATGCACCCTGGGAAAGCACCACCTTCTCAGGGAACTGCTAAATTCAGCAGAAAGAAGAGAAGTATTTGCACACATGTACTGCTAGACAGTAGCAGAAACCTTCCTTTACTTGGGAGAGTATAACTGCTGGCAGAAATAGCAGGTAGAGGTCGCGCTTTTCCATCACACAAGAGCTTTGAGCATGGATGCACCCAAAGTTCTTCCAGTGAAACCTTGTAGTGCTGACTAGCTCTCTCATGAGTACCTACTTCCTCCTTCACAGTTATGCATGTAGAAATAACAGCATTGAACGATCAGTGAGCACCATGCAGTATGCAATTTGAAAATCTGTGATCTGTCCCCTCTCCTTAACCAGTAAGTAACTATTTCTCATATATACTTATTAGTCCTGTTAAGTAGCTCTTTTGATAGACTAAAGGATGTCCATCAAAATAGGACCACTACTCTTTGGAAAACCTTGCCACAGAGCAGCAGGGTGGGTTCTCAAACCACTGCTGTTTCATTTTAACCAAGTGCTCCCTGTAAAATCTGTTAAACATCTTTGAGGAGAGCCACAACTATTCTATTGCTTCATAAAAACTGATGGCCCCAAAATAGGTCACAGTGGGTATAGACTCCCACCCAATGCCAGAGCTGTATTGCTTACTGCCATTTTTACATTCATTTCCCATTTTAATCAGCAATTTCAAAATGAGCCAATTTACTTACTAATTTTTTCTTCTTTTCCAGCTGTGCCAGAGATAGATTTGGCAAAGATCCCAGCTAGAAAGGAGTAGGAAAACTATATCAAAGGAGGGAGACTGTGCCTGGAGTCTTGAGCTACTGCCTTACTTTCCACTGATTTGCCAATGTACAGCAGATAAGCATAGGTATGCAGGTTGCAAGGAAAGGACAAGCCTGCCATTATAAATAAAACTGCTTCTCTTACTTAACAGGTTGAGGCAATCATGTCCAAGCTGAGACAGCTTTCATTTCTGAGAGGGAAAAACACAAGCAGGAAAGCAGATGGAAAACTTTTGCTAGGTGAACTCTATTTTATTTTCAGCTGTTTTCTAGCTGGAGGTAGGGGGTGGCTTTCTTTGTTTTTGTTTTTGGTCAATGACACTCTTTTTATATGTTGACCTAAAGGGGAAAAAAATCGTCTCTTTCAGGTATTAGACAACATACGTATATTTACACCATGTACCCAGGCAGGGTGTATGCTGGAATGAATGTTTTTCTGCCCCCAGCATTTTTAATCATCAGTATAGGCAGTGCCCAACCCACAAATAAGTACACCAGAACTTTTAATGCTCTGATCTTAATGACATGAAAAATAATTATGATATTTCCTCATACACCCAGAAACTGATGGTATTTCTCTTTACACCTCTACAGTCAGCAAATGCCTGAAACCATCAATCTATAGGAAGATGCAAGAATACTGACAGACTTTGAACAGCATTCCTGGTCTCAGTTTAGGCGTGTGCTCCTTGTCGGAAGAAGCAGCATGCTCAACACAAGACAGCATATGTTGTACTGCCACATGCCCATATTGAAGTAGGCTGACAGAAAGGTATGGAAGTTTTTTTCCCCCTGATCTATATAATTAACAAAGCCAGTTGGAAAAATCAAATATTTTCCTTCAAAAAATTACGGGCAAATGCCCAACTGAATTTTCTAAACACTTCTAAATGAATATTGCCAGTATTTCCCAATTTTGTATTTTCACTATGCTTGTTCCCGCCCATGGGGGAAAGGGGAGGAAAGGAAGCAGGGACAAAAGTAAAGTGGAAAGAGTAACAAAAAAAAAAAACCACACTCAAAGCATGAAAAACAGGTTTGCTTTCACTTTTCTCCCATTCTTTTTCAGAGGAAAATAAGAGATGGAGAGAGAAATTGATCTTCCCCTTTTACTTTTTGCCTTTAAGCTTTGAACATGGAAAACTAACATTTATTTAGATTTCCAAGAACTGGAAAAATGTTACTTCTATATTATTCCAAATCATTTCATTTCAATGCATGTCTTCAAAAATGAAAAATTTCCCCACTGCTATGCTTTGTGACACAGAAGTTACAGTCTCAAATCTTTTTTCAACCAGCTCTAATAATTGTTAGCTAGTTCTGCTAGCCTAGTTAATTTGATCAACATCTTTAATGCTACAGTTTCTGCAGCTGGCCTAGAAGTCCCTAGGCATGGCACTGTTAATTATTATTGCATCTGGATAGCTTGTACTATCAGATAAAACAGGTACACCCATTGACTGTCAT